CTAGACAAAAAGGAGAAACAGCAATGGGGGACAAGGTTCTAATTTCATGCTGGGGGGGCGGGCAAGATCCAAGATGATGGCTGGCAAGGTCTGCCCCTGTAAACCGTAAGCGGTCATGGCAAAAAGGTTACTGACAGGAAGTTGACAACGATGGAGCTGCATGTATGCACGTTGATCTTTGTCAAGTTGGACGCCATCAGCAGGAGGAGTGCCAGGATAGAATCTCCAAGGGCGCGTAGTGGTACCGAGGAAGAAGCGTCCAGGTCCGAGGGCAGCATGCTTGATCCAAGTCGCATTAGGTACACGAAGGATCAGGCCGATGGGAAGGTAGAGGAATGGATGTGGAGGTAACCGGCTGTCGTGGTCGAAATACCTGACAAGGGGAAGGGGAAAAGGAAGGGAGAGGGTAAGGTAAAGAAGGATGGGAGATTTAGGGGATAGAAAGGAAATAGTTGGAAAAGCGTTGCTAATAAAGAAAAGAGCGGAAAGGCACGGTTCCTCATCAGCCAGCAGAATATCGTCAACGATGACGGTGCAGCCACGAACAAGGCCAAGCGACGTGCAGAGTTTGGCTTCAAGGCAGAGCGAGAGACCGCGAAAGAGGTACAACGTGGTTTGGAGGTTGGCAGTGGTGCTGAGGGTGTGGAGAGATGCAGCTTGGAGGGCCAAAGCTGGACTTAAGGGATATGGCTTGTTAGCAAAGGAACAGCGGTCAGCCGCAATGGCGAGGAGCAAGCGATGCCCAGCGTCGATGGCAGCGTTCTGAGCGCGTTGGACAGTGCAGAAGGCACGAATGGTATGACGCATGACTCCGACAGGACAAGAGTGAGGATGGAATTTGGGTTCCTGGAGGCGTGGATCTTGGCTACGAATGCAGCGGGCTTGTAGATGGGTCCAGGAAGTTGTTGAAAGGCTTGCGTCGGAGAGAAGGCCATGAAGAAGATCGTGCAATGGTCCTGTGCAGCGATGGCTGTGGTTAAGTAGGATTGTGGCTTTGAGGTTGTTCCAGAGATCGGCACCGGTTGCAACGAGCGTTTGTGATGGTAGCCAGGTGCCGGTGAGCTCGGCGGTGGCAAGGGTTTGAGGTGGATTGATAAGACATGTTGCGCCGACAGGAGGCAATTGATGGAAATCGCCGGAGAGGCGCAAGGCGAGGCCACCCCAAGAGACTGCCAGATTGTTGAAGATCTGACGAAGACAGAGATCAGTTTGAGCAAACAGTTCGTTTGATAACATGCTAGCCTCGTCGATGAGAAAGGTAGAAATTGGACGCCAAGCTGCTTGAAGTGTCTCTCGTTGATGTCCAAGGCTCTTGGCGGTTGCGCTGGTGTCTGTGATATCAAGAGGCAAAGCAAGACTGGCGTGTAAGGTGTCGCCATCGATGAGTTTGGCAGCCCGGTGAGTGAAAGCAGCACGTGCAGTAGAGTTGGGCAGGAAAAGATGGATAAGGTCAGTGACGAGGTTGGTGATGTACGTCTTGCCAGTACCAGGACCACCGAGCAAGAGGGAACACCTGAACGGTACAACAGTGGAAGAGGTCAGGCCCCAGTTGTGATTGAGGGTAGCTTGTAGCCAAGAGGCAGCAAGGAGAAGGTAAGCAGCTTGCTTCAAGTTCAGATGTCCATCTGGCGTAGAGCAGCGGCCTTCCTGGAGCCAAGTTGTAATGATATCAAAGACACTGTGCTCCGTCTTGTGTAGAATGGGAAGGGATCGTGGCAAGGACTGATGGGAAGAATCAGATGTAGCCTGAGAAGGATGGACCTGAGATGTAGGAGGAAGCGTCAGGGAGTCCCAGTCTTGTTCCTGTCGGCGAAGGATGGTGATGTCGATGTGATCTGGTAAGAGCCATGATGACTGGGTGGCGCCTGCGAAGGTGTAGATAGATGATGCCTGGGGCGGTGTTGCAGTGTCATGGATTGCACGGAAATGGGCGACGAAACTTGCTGCACTCGCATGCAATGGCAGAAGCTCAGATCGGTTAAGCGAAGAAAGAACATCCCAGGTTGCAGAGAAGGCAGGTGTACTCCGAAGGGTTTGATCAGGATCACGGGCAGCTGGAGGCACCTGTGGCAGGGTGGAAAAGAGGAAGTAGAGACATATAGGAAAGAGGGGCGAAGCCTTTGTAATTGCAACATGGTTGTGATTTCGTCGGGTTTGTTATGTCGTTGCAGTTGTTGTTGCAGTTGGTGGTGTAGTGTCATTGTTGTTGTTGTTGTTGTTGTTGTTGCTGTTGTTGTTGTTGTTGTTATTGTTGTTGTTGTTGTTGCTGCTGTTGTCGTTGGTGTTGTTGTTGCTGTCGCTGTTGTGGCTGTTGTTGTTATTGTTTTTGTTCTGGTTGTATGGCCCAGAGGAGTGAAGCCTTTGTAATTGCAACACGGCATGTGTGGTTTTGCTGGGTCTGTTGTGTCGTTGCAGTTGTTGTCGCAGTTGATGGTGTGTCGTCGTTGTGTTGTTGTCGTTGTCGTTGTCGTTGTCGTTGTCGTTGTCGTTGTCGTTGTTGTTGTTGTCGTCGTCGTCGTCGTCGTTGTGGTTGGTTGTGGTTGTGGTTGTGGTTGTGGTTGTGGTTGTGGTTGTTGTTGTTGTTGTTGCTGTTGGTGTTGCTGTTGCTGCTGTTGTTGTTGTTGCTGTTGTTGTTGTTGTTGTGGTTGTGGTTGTGGTTGCGGTTGTGGTTGTGGTTGTTGTTGTTGTTGTTGTTGTCGTTGTTGTTGTTGTTGTTGGTGTTGTTGTCTGCAGCACCACATGCAATGCGGAGGTAATATCATAATGGTCCCAAAATGGAGCCCGAAAAGGGAGGGTAAAATTGAAGAAGTAGCCTGTCCCCCTACATCTGTTCTACAAAATCGGGCTCTAAGATTGTAAGCAAAAATCGTTTTGAAAACCCACGTATATAGGCCCTTAAAGATTCTGAGGGCAAAAATTTCAGGAATGTACTTTGAAAATTCTCAAAACCCAGGACCCTGGAGCTCATAAAATAGAACCTTGATTTTGTAGAGGCCAATGTGTGGTTCCCCCTTGGAGTTTGATTTTGTAGAGGGTGACACCTTGGCGTATGAGTTTATAAAGGTCACGATAGGCTGCCACAGAAACCTTTCCTGCTGCAAAGGCCAGCCCTGGTATTGAATCAAGGTCATTCCCTCTCACCATCTCTCACCACTATAGAATCAAGATCTGAAGATATGACATTGACGAGCAAAGACCGTAGGATGTCACCAGCCTTACTTCTACAAAATCAATCCCCTTCCCAAAATGTAAGGTTTTGTGCGTAGTCCCAAAATGGAGCCCGAAAAGGTAGGGCAAAATATGATGGGAAGAAGTAGCTTGTGATTGATATGTTGATCGAATTGATGAGAAGCGATGTAAATATATGTGAAGAGTTGGTATTGTTCTGATGAAGTTGGTAAGGGTAGGTTGCTTATATCGTAGTGATTTGGTTTTATGGTTCTGTGTTGATGTTTGGCATGGAATTGATAAGAAGAGATGTAAATATATGTGAAGAGTTGGTTTTATGGTTCTGTGTTGATGTTTGGCCTGCAGCACTACATGCAATGCGGTGCGCCTGATGAAGATGGTCAAGCGGATCGGCATCAGCATGTTCGGATGCAATGCTGTGGTCAGAGGCAGAGTCGTCGTCAGAGTGCAAGTACGAGTCATTATGCTCAACAGTGGTAGCGCCAGGAACGCCGCGAAGTTGATCGGGATTGAGCTGTTGTTCCTGATCGGCTTTGGTGGATTCGATGTTGGCGCTCAGGTCAATATGTTCGATGATGTGGAGAGATCGCTGGGCCCAGTAGGCAGGAGTGAAAGGAGAAGCACGGGAAGAAGGCGGCGGCAGAGAGGCACGTAGGTCGGCTTCAAAGGCACGCCAAGCGTCAGCCCAGGTAGTGAAGCCGGATGTCTGGGGTAGAAGATCTTGCAAGGAAAGCCATGGTTTGAACAGGAGCAAGAGTAGCATGGCTCGACGGTGTGGGTCTTCGGCAAGTCGCGGAATGCGTGGCCCGTGGAGTTGTGGGATTCGCCATGGGGTCTTGGTCAGGACTTGTTGGCGTAATGATGTGTGTAGGGGATGATCAGAAGTGAATGGAATGCATGCTGGATGACTGGAATCTGATTTGCGGATGCTGACACGGACGACAGCAGCGGTGTAGAAATAAAGTGGCCAGAGCTGCAAGGTGCCACCGCGACAAGGATAGTCAGCACTGGGTTGGAGAAGGAAATTCCAGGTGTGCGATGTGGATGGGAAGGATGGCTCGTCAGAGTGCAGTTGCGATGCATCTTCCGAAGGATCTGCTTGTAAGAGGCACGAGGAGCGAGCTTGTAGGTCAGCGTCAGAGAGGGAGGACGCAGACAAAGGGTGTAGCAGTTCGAGGTTGCTTGCAAGATCGGCATAGAAGAAAGTCACAAAGGAATGTGTGCAATAGAAGTCATCATAACCGAGGAGGTAAGAAACCATCTCTGGCATACTTTTGTGGACTCGTTTTTGACAGGCAAGGAGTAATTTGGACAAGGTTTGGCGGGCGCGAATGGAGGCTTCTGGCATGGTAGGTTCTTTTGCAAGATCAGAGAGGTGACGCTGCGTGGCTGCATGAAGCAGAGCCCACAAGGAGGTGAGATGTGGTTGGGTTTTGGTGGTATAGGAGGTGACATAGAAGAGAATTGTGGACATGCTGGTTGCCATTTTGGATTCCACCATGCTGACAGGGTTCTCTGCAGTGGCATAGTCGGCGGGAAAGCGAAGCAGTAAGGAAATGTCGTGGTTGCATTTGCAGGTGGCTAATAGGACAGGGTTGACTCGACCAAAAAATAAATGGTGTCTCTCGGTTTGGAAAGAGTCGAGATGTGGTGGCTGCGTACCAAGGATTGGTGCAGGGCAGAGCTGAACACCGTGACAACGCTCCCAGGTGTGAGGTCGAGCAGGTTCACTGATGTCAAGCCAATGCCAAAATCCAAGGCGGCAATACCCACGCTTTCCAAGCTTGCCTTTGAAGCAAGTTTTTGGTCTGCACGAATGAAGGAGACCTCCGTGGACAATCGACGTGCGTAGGTCGTAGAGAAGCATGCTGGCTTGTTCGTTGGATACGTCATGCTGGTCAATATCGTGCAGAAAAGCCTGGGACCATGGAACAAAGGTTTTGCCCACTTCGGGTTAGCCTGTGAAAGGATTGATGAAAGGTGGGGTTGCAAAGAGCAGTTGCGGAGGCGTTGCCGCAAACCAATGGTCTTGCATGTCGAGGCAATGTTGATGGTAAGATGGATGCAAAGCTTTGAGGTTGTCGTCAGAGTAAGGCAAAGGGCGAAGTGTGGACAAGAGGTTGGGATCAAGATTGAACATAGAGGGTATGGCTTCGAAACTGGTGGCCACAATACTTTTAACCCAAGACCAGAGATGGGCTTCGAGAGTTGGCAAAGCAGCAGTGAAGCGCTCAAGAAGGGCTCGGGGTGAGCGGAAAGCATGGCAAAAGAGGACGAAATGAATATGTAGGCTGCCACGTTGCTGTGGTTCGATGGCTCCAAAGGCTGCAGACAAAGATTTGAAGATACCGCGAGCACGTTGGGATGCGATACCATCAGGATGCAAGGTGTCAGCGGATATATTGACGTCGAGCAAGTCGGACAGAAAGGTGTTCACATGGGTATGAAAAGCTTGGACCGCAGCAGTTGGATCCTTGGCGACAATCCGCCAGAGATTGGCAGACTGCAAAGCATCGGCCAGGAAGGGATCAAGGCCGGCAGATGGCACTGGGATGCTGGCGGTGCCAAGATGTGATCGCCAAGTGAACGGATGGAGGACATCAGCGGGGTTTAATGTTACGAAAAGGAGTGGCATGCCGAACCAGTAGGTCATGGAGACAAGCTTATGGCGCATGAGACGGCGTGCGGAGTCGGTGCAGGGAACACTGCCTTGGCAAGATTGAAGTAATTGGAGCATAGATTTCATGGCAGCTGGAACGTCTGGCGAACGAAGGGCATCAGGTATGGAGCCAGTCCTGGGACATGGGGATTGAAAATAGGGTGATGAATGGTGTCATGGAGTGGTATGATTCGCGAACAGTAAAGATTTATATGCAAACTGGTATTCATTAGAAAACTTGGCTGCGATGAGGTACCCAAAAGAAAGTATGGTGATTCACCTGAAAAGATGTGACGCGAGTCGCTATGTATAATAGAAAAGAAAGAAAAAGGGGGAGGAATAAAGTATGAGGCCAAGAAGCTCACTAAGCGTGTTTGCAAGGTTGGTAAAATCCATTGTGCGCAGGGCACAGAAATGTGGAATGGCGGCCTTGAAGCTTGGGGAGCGAACACGGATTCGGACTGCGCGAAGAAGGCGACGTCGATGGAGAATTGAAAACAGAAGAGCAACGAAATCGAGGTCCATTCGCCAATGCGTTTCAGGTGGACGATCGAGACGACGTAGGAGATGACTTGCCCAGGCATGATCCGTGAGAAAAACCGGACGTGGATGCCCGTCCAAGCTGTCTGCCCATGGGAACAAGCATGGGAAGCATAGAGTCCAGAAGGATGGATGATAGCTGTCTAGAGGAGTATCTGAATGAGGAAGATACGCATAAATCTTTTGCAGCTGATTGGATGGTGGTGTCTGATGGCGACTATCGACGTGGAATGTGCGATGATCAGACATTGATACCAATTGTCGAAGTGCTTCTTGAGCCAGGTGCACATGACAGGACGCGTCAGTCGAAGAGTCTGTGGACTGACGCTCATATCGTTGGCACGCAGTCAATGCGGTGTCCCAAAGGTGAAGTGGATCAGATGCATCTTCACCGGGTGTAAGGACAGCGGCATGGATGGACGAAGGCAAAGCGGTGTCGACAGAGGAAGCATCTGCGGGACCGAGGCAGCGCTCGACTGTCTGCTCAGTGGCTTGTGCAACTGCAAGCCAGGCAGGAGGTATTTCGTTGACAGGAAGCTGGCCCAGTGCGTTTGGATCGATCTGCACATCTGCATAATAGGGATTGTGAGAGACAAGCCAGGTCAAAGCCGAGTGCACGGCAGAGCGTCGAACAACAAACTCTTTGGCCGAGCGCAAATTGGAGATAGTTGCATCGGTGAAGAAGATGCTAAGATAATCTGAAAGATGTTCAGCGCTGGTTGGTAAAGCTTGCAAGACAGAGAGACTGTTCTGTGGGAAAGCAATCGCACTAGCAGTACCAAGCAAGCCCTGTTGTCGAGATTCTGGATCTCCAGAGGAAGAGAGGGTTCGGAGGCGTCGAAGAGCAAAGCCACGGGCGACGAACATCTGTTCCCCAAGAGATAAGTTCTGCAAAGCGGGAGGTGGATGAAGGCAAGCGTTGTCATTTGCGAGCGCAGCTGGAGGCAATTGTGGTGTTTTTTTTGTAAGGCTTTCTGCGCAAGAAGGGCAACATAGGCAGGACAAAGATGTAGAAATATCATGAGCTGATTGAGTCCAGTCTGCGAGGGCTGCCGAAGATGAAAAATGAAGAAGCCAACCATCCTGAGAGGCTTCGAGTGATGAGAGAGAAGTGTGTTGTGTGTTGTGTGTTGTGTTTTGTGTGTTGTCCCACTGGAGATAGCTTAGAAAAAGTAGCTGGAGTCACGAAATATTCTCCAGAACAGTATTAGCTTTGGAACCAAGTGGCAGGCTCATGCGCACGCAATTCGACAGGAAGAGGAACGCAGATGTCTTTAAGGTCGTCCCAGGTGAGTCCAAGGAAAGTAAGCGGCAAGTGGTCAGCGAATCGAGTATGGTTTCGAAGGACATAGGCTTGGCCAGAAAGTAGAGGATGTAGAGCCAAACAACCGCCGTGCAGGTGGCGAAGATCAAGAAGAATGGCTTGGTGAGCAGGAGTCGGACATGCGCAGAAAGTGCATTGAGCAGGAGCTTCCATGCAACGGATGAAAGATGCACGACCGGACGCGAGATGTTGTCGTAGTTCTAAGGATGGAACTGCTCCTGGCCATTGTTCGGCGCTCTGGGAAAGGGAACGGTGTCGCTGGAGATAGGCAGGCTCATGGGAACTGTCAAATGCATCAGATTGGTATGGATGGACTTCACGAGCGGTTGTTTGGCAAGCTTTCGCGAGAGCCTCGATGCGAGCTGCAAGAGTTTGGCAATGATAGGTCCAAGAAGCAGCTGGGAGAAGCAGGCAGGTGTCAAAGCACTGAAGAAAGGCTTGCAAATCCATGGGATGATGACGGTGAAGAAAATGGAGAAGCTCAGCAGCAGTGATTAAATGATGGCTATCTATAGTCCGTTGCCAGGGTTGGTCAGCGTAGGAGCGGGAAATCTTAACTCGACGCTCGTCTGTTGCTGCAACGTATTGTATGGTCTGCCAAAAAAGATGAAATTCTTCAATGGACCAGGCTTGGATCTGGAAGGCAATGGTTCGTTGAAGCATTTGAAGCAGATCGAGAACAACAGGCACGGCGGATGGTAAGGTGAAGCAAAACCAGGAGTTGGATAAGTAGGTACAACGATGAAGCTCAATGGTTGGCGGTTGGTTCAAGATTCGACGAGCATCCCTGACACTGGTACAAGCAGAAGCGCTTGAACGGCGCTGGAAGAAGGTGAAGACAAAGATGAAATAGGTGTCGATCGGAATGCCCGAAGCCGACCAGCGGAATCGTTGTCCGTTCCGGAGCTGTAGGCGAGTCTCTTCGAAATTCAGGAGTTGAGATGAGTTTTGATGGTGCATGAAACTGAGTTTGAAAGCATGCCACAAGCGCTCAAAGTCGGGGATGGATAAGCTGGCAGTCGTCAGTTCTGGTTGTTTACGTAGAAAGGCTATCGCTGCTGCAGCGCCTTGTGTGTTAGCAAGGTTTCGGGCTCGAAAGTCCTTTCCGCGATACGAGCAAGATATGGACGGAGTCTGCATGGCTGTTCTGGAAGAAGAAGACGGAGGTCTTGTGGCTAAAGATGGTATGATGGTGTGTGCGTAGATGTGAGCATGCTTGGATGTTCTCTAGTCATGTTGGAGTATGCAAGTGTGGTTGTAAGCGGTCGTTTTGAGAGCAACAGTTCAGCAAGCAGGGTTGTAGTCTGAAGGTAAAGGGATGCATTGAGCTGTAGATTCTAGACTGTGTGTATGACATGCATCTGTCGAGATTTGCAGGTATTATCCGTGCATTGGGACTTGTAGCACAGCAAAAGCGGTGAAATAACAGCAAATCATACTATGGAATGTGAATCAAGTGACTCTGGCTTGATTTCAAAAGAGCTGCTATGGGGTTAGTTGGTGGCACAGTGTGAAGACCATCTATGTTTCTATGTATCTGTCGATTTATCCAGCCAGTTATAAATATATCGGTCGTATTATTTATGTTTCTGTCTATGTAGCTATCTATGTATTTATTTATCTGTCTGTCAATGTAGTATCCATAGATTCATTTATCCATTTATCAAATGATGGAGCAAAGCTATTGGACCACGCGCCAAGGAATGCCTAGCTTGCAGCCGCACGTAAATGTGTGAGTCCTTTTGGTGAATGTGATCGGACCTTGCCCCTTGCAGGCAGCAAGGCTGACAAAACAAATCACAGTATGGAATGTGGCCAGCAAGGCTTTCTGAGTAAACCCAAACTCGGTCGCATGGTTGGAAAATTCTTGAAAAGAATGTTGCCGACTTTATTTTGGGACCACTATGGCGATTTGTTGATTGCACATTGAGGAAGGAAAGGTTACTGGTGGCCAATTCTTGCTATAGTAGCTATGGTAAGGCTAGTTGTGTATTTATCTAAGTATCTATCTATCTATGTAACTATCTACATACCTATTTATCTATTTATTGATCTATCTGTCTATCTGTGTAGTATCTATTCATCTATTCATCCTTAGTTGGAAAGTCAAAGATGGAGAAGAAAATGAAACTCTTCTTAACAGAGGTATTCTAACGGATGATGGCAAACGAATCTACAATTGTCTTGGGGGGTCAGTTAGAGAGTGTCAATTTGAAGATGTGAAGATAGTTTAGGTAACAATAAGGTGTCACGTAGATTAGAAATCTGTCAATAGTGCTAAAGTCGAAGCGCATCAGTCGGCAACTCATATGCGCATCCAAATAAAGAGCTTGGCTGCTCTGATTTGGAACCTCTCTTTGTAGTGACTGGGTCCTTCGCAAGAGTGGTGAAAGGTCGCTTAATCACTCTATGGAATGTGGACAAAGCGATGATGCAAGTCCTTTTCGCGGATACAAAGATTTATCGTATGGTTGGAAAGTCGTAGTATTACAAAGTTCTGTTTCGGGATCACTGTAGGATTATGTTGCCTGCACATTTGGGAAAATTCAATCGATGGCCGTTCTTGCTAGGGTGGGCCAAGCGAATTGCTAACGAACTATTTATCTATCAGTCTATGTGGTGATTACCTATTTGATATCTATCTATCTGTCTATCTATATAGGATGTGTGTTCAAGAATTGAAAAGGCCAAGCTGGAAAAGAAAATGAGATCGTAAACAATTCCATGTGTAGATAAGTGGTGCTCTTTTGTGGAAGGTGATTGGACCTTGCCGTCTCGCAGTTTTCGAGGTCGATAGAACCTGACGAGGAAATATGTGTTTCCTTTTCAGCAGAGGCATTGCAACGGATGATGTCAATCGAATCTACAGTTTTCTAGTAGGGTCAGTCTATAGCCATGCTCATGAGAAAGTTGGTATGACTGTCATCTCAACTAGTTTGAAAAACATATGGTACGAAATGGTGAAGATACTTGAGGTAACAACAAAGTATCGTGTGGATTAGAAATTTTTCAACAATTAGTAAAGTCGAAGGTCATCAGTCGGCAACTCACACGCGCACCGAAATAGAGCGCTTGAGTACCCTTCGGAATTTCTCTCCGTAGTGGCTGGGTCCTTCGCAAGAGCGGTGAAGCACCGCTGAATCACACTAGAGAATGTGGACAAAGTGACGATGCAAGTCCGTTTTGCTGATCCAAAGATCTGTCGTATGGTTGGAAAGTCGTAGCGTACCAAGCAGTTTCGGCTCCGTTCCGGGACCACTATAGGGTTTTGTTATCTGCACTTTTAGGGAAATGCTGTCGATGGCCGTTCTTCTTAGGGTTGGTTAAGCTAGTTGTTGATCTATCTATGTATGTATCTGTCTATGTGGCTGTCGATGTAATTACCTACGTGAGATTTATCTATCTATCTGTTTATCTATGTAGTATTTATCTGAAAGAGAAAATGAGATCTCAAACGATTCCATGTGTAGATAAGTGGTGCTCTGTCGTGGAAGGTAATTGGATCTTGTCGCCTCGCAGTTGTCGAAATCGATAAAACCTGGCGAGGAGATGTGTTTCCTTTGTTTAGCAGAGGTATCGCAGCGGACGATCTCAGACGAATCTATAACTATAGCCATGCTCGTTAAGAAGTTCCTTTTTGTGGTGGTATGACTCTCTCAATTTGAAGATGTGAAGATAGTCTAGGGAACAAGAAGGTGTCACGTGCCAAAGTCGAAGCGCATCAGTCGGTAACTCATATGCGCACCTAAATAAAGAGCTTGAGTACCAGCTGCTCCCATTTGGAACCTCTCTTTGTAGTGATTGAGTCCTTCGTAAGAGCGGTGAAAGGCTGCTTAATGACACTATGGAATGTGGACAAAGCGATGATCCAAGTCCTTTTTGCCGATCCAAAGATCTGTCATATGGTTGGAAAGTCGTCGGCTCCGTTTCGGGACCACTATAGGGTTTTTTATCTGCATGTTTGGGGAAATACTGTCGATGGCCATTCTTCTTAGGGTGGGCCAAGCGAGTTGTTGATCTATCTATTTATCTATCAGTCTATGTAGCTGTCGACGTAATTACCTATCTGAGATTTATCTATCTATCTGTCTATTTATATAGGATCTGCTTTCAAGAATTGAAAAGCCCAAGTTGGAAAAGAAAATCAGAGCGTAAGCGATTCCATGTGTAGATAAGTGGTGCTCTTTCGTAGAAGGTGATCGGACCTTGCCGTCTCGCAGTGCTCGAGGTCGATAGAACCTGACGAGGAAATGTGTGTTTCTGTGTCTTAGCAGAGGTATTGCAACGGATGATTTCAAACGAATCTGCAGTTGGCTAGCAGGGTGAGTCTATAGCCATGCGTATGAAAAAGTTAGTATGACTGTCATCTCAACCATTTTTAGAAACACATGGTATAAATTGGCCTAGAGACTCTTACTTTGAATATATAAAGATAGTCTAGGTAACAACAGAAATCCTTCACACTGGCCAAATTCGAAGCCCATCAGTCAGAAACTTGTACGCTCACCGAAATGGAGAGCTTGAGTGCCAGACTGCCACTCGGAACCTCTTTGTGTAGTGGCTGAGTCCTTCGCAAGAGCGGTGAAACACCGCTGAATCACATGATGGAGTGTGGACAAGGCGATGATGCATGTCTGTTTTGTTGATCCAAAGATCTGTAGTATGGTTGGAAAGTCGTATTGTCTCCAAGCAGTTTCGGCTCCGTTTTGGGACCACTATAGGGTTTTGTTAAGTGCACATTTGTGCTGGTGGTCAATTCTTTATACTGGGCGGTCTATCTATTTATCTGGCTATCTATTTATCTATCTATCTAATCTAACCGAATCTAATCGAAGCAAATCTAATCTAATCTTATCTTATCTTACTGATCGATCTTTCTAATCTATTTATCTAATCTAATCGAATCTAATCCAATGTTGTCTAATCTGGTCTATCTATCTATCTGTCTATCTATCTACCTATCTATCTTCTATTTGTCTATCTGTGTATCTATCTAGCTATGAAGCAATCTATCTATCTATCTAGCTAGCTATCTATGTATCTATCTATCTAGCTGTATATTTAGCTATCTATCTATCTATCCATCCATCCATCTATCTATCTATCTATCCATTCATCCATCCATCCATCATTCCATCTATCTATCTATCTATTGAGCTGTATATTTACCTATCTGTCTATCTATCCATTTATCTATCACTATCTATCTATCTACCTACTTATCTATCTATGCATTTATGTTTTTATCGATCTATCTGGCAAGCGATCTTGCTAGCTATCGATATGTCTATTTACTTATGTATGTATTGATCTATCTGTTTATCTACTTAGCTATCTATCTGTCCTTGCTGTCTTGCAGCTACCGAGGTCGACAAAACCTGGCCAGGAGAATACCATAAGGGTAAGAAAGATTGTGTGCGCATGAAGCTGTACATTTCTTTCTCTTAAGGCATGTTCTTCAATGGTGTGAGTGGCTCGTGATGATATGAAACAAAGTCATTCCCAATAGCGGCAACAGAACGCAAATAGGTGCCAAGCTATTTTTTTGCGTACAGCACTTGAAGATGCCATCATGGTCTCCAGCATCTCTAAAAGCTCCGCTCTGGCTATGCCATTCCACGGTCTGGAAAATGGGAATTAAATGCTACATTCACAGGATTCGTCCAAGCAATGCATGTAAATGCATTGTAACGCTGCAGACCCCCATTGCAGGAATAGGATTATTTTTTTCTGACTGGATGTAAGTTGACAAGAGTCTGAGCCCCAGCGTCCATTCTTTCAATGCGCTCAAAAGCATGCCACTATGTTTTTTGCAGTCCTAAAGGTATGACGGTGTAAGTATGTAGTTCAGTCGTCTAGAGAATGATTTACTGACTTGCTAAAGGACTGCAATGCCATAGCGTCGCACAGTGTCTCTGTAGGAGCTCTTCACAGCCATCTCATCGAATAACGCAATATGAAGTGGTGAAACAGTGCAAACATGATATTTCTTTCACAGGTGGCTGTGCAAAAGAGGTGGCTGTGCAAAAGAATTCTCAACTCTGTAGATATCTCTGTTGCAAGCGACAATGCGTTTGTACAACGATCCATTTCGCTAATCCTTTGAGCATAACTTCTCTGAATTGGAGCAAACCTGGCAA